CTTTTTAATAATGTTTTTGTTATTAATAATACATATATAATAATATTATAGGAAGGATAATATACAAATAAATATATAAAAATGTTTTTGATCATAATATAAATACATATTTTATAATATTTTTATAATAATAATTATATATGAATGAACACTTTTTAATAATGTTTTTGTTATTAATAATACATATATAATAATATTATAGGAAGGATAATATGCAAATAAATATTCACAGGTTTTTTTATCATAATATAAATACATATTTTAAAGTTTTTTATAATAATAATAATATATGAATGAACACTTTTTAGTAATGTTTTTGTAATTAATAATACAAATATAATAATATTATAGAAACGATAATATGCAAATAAATATTGACAGGTTTTTTTTGATCATAATATAAATACATAGTTTAAAGTTTTTTTATAATAATAATTATATATGAATGAACACTTTTTAGTAATGTTTTTGTAATTAATAATACAAATATAATAATATTATAGAAACGATAATATGCAAATAAATATTGACAGGTTTTTTTGATCATAATATAAATACATAGTTTAAAGTTTTTTTATAATTATAATTATATATGAATAAACACTTTTTAATAATGTTTTTGATATGAATAATACATATATAATAATATTATAGGAAGGATTATATACAAATAAATATATATAAATGTTTTTGATTATAATATAAATACATATTTTATAATATTTTTATAATAATAATTATATATGAATGAACACTTTTTAATAATGTTTTTGTTATTAATAATACATATATAATAATATTATAGGAAGGATAATATACAAATAAATATATATAAATGTTTTTGATCATAATATAAATACATATTTTATAATATTTTTATAATTATAATTATATATGATGAACACTTTTTAATAATGATTTTAATAATAATAATACATATATATTAATATTATAGTAAGGATAATATGCAATTAAATATTGACAGGTTTTTTTATCATATTATAAATACATATTTTAAAATTTTTATATAAAAATAATTATATATGAATGAACAATTTTTAATGATGTTTTTGTAATTAATAATACATATATAATAATATTATAGGAAGGATAATATGCAAATAAATATTCACAGGTTTTTTTTATCATAATATAAATACATATTTTAAAGTTTTTTATAATAATAATTATATATGAATGAACACTTTTTAGTAATGTTTTTGTAATTAATAATACAAATATAATAATATTATAGAAACGATAATATGAAAATAAATATTGACAGGTTTTTTTGATCATAATATAAATACATAGTTTAAAGTTTTTTTATAATTATAATTATATATGAATGAACACTTTTTAATAATGTTTTTGTTATGAATAATACATATATAATAATATTATAGTAAGGATAATATGCAATTAAATATTGACAGGTTTTTTTTATCATAATATAAATACATATTTTATAATTTTTATATAAAAATAATTATATATGAATGAACACTTTTTAATGATGTTTTTGTTATTAATAATACATATATAATAATATTATAGGAAGGATAATATACAAATAAATATATATAAATGTTTTTGATCATAATATAAATACATATTTTATAATATTTTTATAATAATAATTATATATGAATGAAAACTTTTGAATAATGTTTTTGTTATTAATAATACATATATAATAATATTATAGGAAGGATAATATACAAATAAATATATATAAATGTTTTTGATCATAATATAAATACATATTTTATAATATTTTTATAATAATAATTATATATGAATGAACACTTTTTAATAATGTTTTTGTTATTAATAATACATATATAATAATATTATAGGAAGGATAATATGCAAATAAATATTCACAGGTTTTTTTGATCATAATATAAAAAAATATTTTAAAGTTTTTTTTAATAATAATAATATATGAATGAACACTTTTTAGTAATGTTTTTGTAATTAATAATACAAATATAATAATATTATAGAAACGATAATATGCAAAAAAATATTGACAGGTTTTTTTGATCATAATATAAATACATAGTGTAAAGTTTTTTTATAATAATAATTATATATGAATGAACACTTTTTAGTAATGTTTTTGTAATTAATAATACAAATATAATAATATTATAGAAACGATAATATGCAAATAAATATTGACAGGTTTTTTTGATCATAATATAAATACATAGTTTAAAGTTTTTTTATAATTATAATTATATATGAATGAACACTTTTTAATAATGTTTTTGTTATGAATAATACATATATAATAATATTATAGGAAGGATAATATACAAATAAATATATATAAATGTTTTTGATCATAATATAAATACATATTTTATAATATTTTTATAATAATAATAATATATGAATGAACACTTTTTAATAATGTTTTTGTTATGAATAATACATATATAATAATATTATAGGAAGGATAATATACAAATAAATATATATAAATGTTTTTGATCATAATATAAATACATATTTTATAATATTTTTATAATAATAATTATATATGAATGAACACTTTTTAATAATGTTTTTGTTATTAATAATACATATATAATAATATTATAGGAAGGATAATATACAAATAAATATATATAAATGTTTTTGATCATAATATAAATACATATTTTATAATATTTTTATAATAATAATTATATATGAATGAACACTTTTTAATGATGTTTTTGTAATTAATAATACATATATAATAATATTATAGGAAGGATAATATGCAAATAAATATTCACAGTTTTTTTTTATCATAATATAAATACATATTTAAAAGTTTTTTATAATAATAATTATATATAAATGAACACTTTTTAGTAATGTTTTTGTAATTAATAATACAAATATAATAATATTATAGAAACGATAATATGCAAATAAATATTGACAGGTTTTTTTGATCATAATATAAATACATAGTTTAAAGTTTTTTTATAATTATAATTATATATGAATAAACACTTTTTAATAATGTTTTTGATATGAATAATACATATATAATAATATTATAGGAAGGATTATATACAAATAAATATATATAAATGTTTTTGATTATAATATAAATACATATTTTATAATATTTTTATAATTATAATTATATATGAATGAACACTTTTTAATAATGTTTTTGTTATTAATAATACATATATAATAATATTATAGGAAGGATAATATACAAATAAATATATATAAATGTTTTTGATCATAATATAAATACATATTTTATAATATTTTTATAATTATAATTATATATGATGAACACTTTTTAATAATGATTTTAATAATAATAATACATATATATTAATATTATAGTAAGGATAATATGCAATTAAATATTGACAGGTTTTTTTATCATATTATAAATACATATTTTAAAATTTTTATATAAAAATAATTATATATGAATGAACAATTTTTAATGATGTTTTTGTAATTAATAATACATATACAGGGTGTAAATTAAGTCTGGCACACATTTTTTATCTTTTTTTCTATATTAGATAGAAGAAATCAATTTGCGGGAATGATTAATAACAAATGTAAGGCACTTTTGACAAATTTTGAAAATAAAAATTCCCTTAAGGGCAAGGGGGGGTGGGGGGTAACTAAAAATTTTCAAATGACAACCCCCATCTTGTGACCCCTCATTTTAAAGGTCATTGGAAGACAAATCCAAAGATGTGTCTAAAAAAATTTTTTTTGCACCCTATCCAAGATGGCGGTTTAAAATGTACTTAGGGTTGAATGGGTAAATTAGGTATGGCACATATTTCTTATCTTTTTTACTCTTTGTAGATAGAAGGAATTAATTTGCGGGACTGAGTAAGAACAAATGTTTGGCACTTTTCATAATTTTGAAAAAAATCCCCTTAAGGGTAAGGTGGTGGTGGGGGGTAACTAAAAATTTTCAAATGACAACCCCCATCTTGTGACCACTCATTTTCAAGGTATTTGGAAGAAAAATTTAACGATGTGTCTGAAAAAATTGTTTTTGTATCCTGTCCAAGATGGCGGCTTTAAATGTGCTTGGGGTTAAACGGGTGGGGTCTGGAACACAATTTTATCTTTTTTGCCATTAATAGATAGAACTTATCCACTCGTGGGACTGAGCCAAAATTAGGCACCTTTTTATTTATTTGAAAAAATCCCCTAAGGGTAAGGGGGGGGGGCAACTAAAAATTTTCAAATGACAACCCCCATCTTGTGACCTCTCATTTTAAAGGTATTTGAGAGACCAATTTAACAATGTGTCTAAAAATGTTTTTAAGCACTTTTTCCAATATGGCGGCTTAAAATGTGCTTAGGGTTGAACAAGTAAATTAAGTCTGAAACACATTTTTATTTTTTTTACCAAAAATAAAGTTATAATAGATTTGATAGTTTATATCAGAAAAACTTGGACAATAGGATGAACTGCAATAAACAAACTTATGTAGCTCTTATCACTTAGTAAATAAATCTGATAATTGAGATTCCAGGTTTGGACGTTGCACTCACTTGGAATTCCTATCCTCTTTCTTAAGACTGCAGGCTAATCAGGTAACAATCTTATCAGTTTTTCCTTATTCCCCTTCAGTCTGTGTAGGTAGTTTCTTTGGAGTAGTCGTAAGTACATCTTTTATTATTTTTATTTTAACATGGCGTTGTTAACAACAAAACAGAAGATAGAAATACTTGTCATTGTTGGCTATGGAGATAAAAAACGGACTCAACTTGAAGCGTGTGATATTTTTAACAACTTGTACCCTGATCGCCAAATTAATCGAGCTACAGTATCTAAGATATGTAATAAGTTTGCTGAAACGGGGGATGTTGCAAGTAAACCAAGAAGTGGTAGGCCAAAATCTGTACTCACTGAAGAAACTAGACTGAATATACTTCTTAGCGTTGAAGAAAATCATCACACATCGACACGTAGGATTGGAAATGACTTTGGGATAAGTCACATGTCGGTCCACAAAGCCCTTAAAGCCGAGAAGTTTCATCCTTTTAAGGTTCAGTTAATTCATGAATTGAACGAGGACGATTTTGACCGCAGGATTGAATTCTGTGAACTCATGATGCAACGGTGTACTTTGGATCCAATGTTCAAAAATAGAATTGTATTTTCAGATGAGGCTTCATTTAGTCTTCATGGCCACGTGAACAGACAAAACTATAGGTATTGGTCTCCTGAAAATCCGCATTGGGCTCAAGAATGCCATACTCAAAATCCCCAAAAAGTCAATGTTTGGGCAGGCATTGTCGGGACCAAATTAATAGGGCCATTCGTGATCGAAGGAAATCTAAACGGAAACCGTTATCTGGAGTTACTGCGAGAGTCGATAGTACCTGCCATTGCCCATGAGTTTCCTCCGGAAGACGAAGAAAATGTTGTCAACGAGAACATTTGGTTTCAGCAAGATGGCGCACCACCTCACTATAATGCTGAAGTCCGAAATTACTTGGACGAAGTTTTTCCAGATCGTTGGATAGGGAGGCGGGGAGCTATTGAATGGCCTGCCAGATCACCCGACTTGACGCCGTTAGACTACTTTTTGTGGGGCCACCTAAAAAGTAGAGTATTTGTTAACCGCCCAGAAAAAATCCAGGATCTCACAGCAAGAATAATAATGGAAGCACGATCTATTAATGAAGAAACGCTGTCCAGGGTGGTAAACGAATTTTACAATCGGTTGGGGCTCTGTCAAGTTTCTCTTGGGCATCAGTTTGAGCATTTGTGAATATTAACAAGTACGTAAAGTTGATTATTGCAATTACATTTATTATTTAGTTTAGGAATTCTATTAATTTTGATTGCTATTGTGTTTTTGTTGTTGTAGGGTTGTAGTATTATTGTAATTATTTGGTATTCTATTTTATTGTAATTATTTAGTATTCTATTTTATTGTATTGGTAATCAATTTTTACACTATCAAACATTAGAGTATAAAGGAAAAAAGGTGTTCCAGACTTAATTCACCCGTTCAACGCTAAGTACATTTTAAGCCACCATATTAGACAGGATGCAAAAAAAACATTTTCAGACACATCGTTGTTAAATTGGTCTCTCAAATACCTTTAAAATGAGAGGTCACAAGATGGGGGTTGTCATTTGAAAATTTTTAGTTGCCCCCCCCCTTACCCTTAGGGGATTTTTTCAAATAAATAAAAAGGTGCCTAATTTTGGCTCAGTCCCACGAGTGGATAAGTTCTATCTATTAATGGCAAAAAAGATAAAATTGTGTTCCAGACCCCACCCGTTTAACCCCAAGCACATTTAAAGCCGCCATCTTGGACAGGATACAAAAACAATTTTTTCAGACACATCGTTAAATTTGTCTTCCAAATACCTTGAAAATGAGTGGTCACAAGATGGGGGTTGTCATTTGAAAATTTTTAGTTACCCCCCACCCCAACTTACCCTTAAGGGGATTTTTTTTCAAAATTATGAAAAAGTGCCAAACATTTGTTCTCACTCAGTCCCGCAAATTAATTCCTTCTATCTACAAAGAGTAAAAAAGATAAGAAATGTGTGCCATACCTAATTTACCCATTCAACCCTAAGTACATTTTAAACCGCCATCTTGGATAGGGTGCAAAAAAAAATTTTTAGACACATCTTTGGATTTGTCTTCCAATGACCTTTAAAATGAGGGGTCACAAGATGGGTGTTGTCATTTGAAAATTTTAGTTACCCCCCACCCCCCCTTGCCCTTAAGGGAATTTTTATTTTCAAAATTTGTAAAAAGTGCCTAACATTTGTTATTAATCATTCCCGCAAATTGATTTCTTCTATCTACTATAGAAAAAAAGATAAAAAATGTGTGCCAGACTTAATTTACACCCTGTATAATAATATTATAGGAAGGATAATATGCAAATAAATATTCACAGGTTTTTTTTATCATAATATAAATACATATTTTAAAGTTTTTTATAATAATAATTATATATGAATGAACACTTTTTAGTAATGTTTTTGTAATTAATAATACAAATATAATAATATTATAGAAACGATAATATGAAAATAAATATTGACAGGTTTTTTTGATCATAATATAAATACATAGTTTAAAGTTTTTTTATAATTATAATTATATATGAATGAACACTTTTTAATAATGTTTTTGTTATGAATAATACATATATAATAATATTATAGTAAGGATAATATGCAATTAAATATTGACAGGTTTTTTTATCATAATATAAATACATATTTTATAATTTTTATATAAAAATAATTATATATGAATGAACACTTTTTAATGATGTTTTTGTTATTAATAATACATATATAATAATATTATAGGAAGGATAATATACAAATAAATATATATAAATGTTTTTGATCATAATATAAATACATATTTTATAATATTTTTATAATAATAATTATATATGAATGAAAACTTTTGAATAATGTTTTTGTTATTAATAATACATATATAATAATATTATAGGAAGGATAATATACAAATAAATATATATAAATGTTTTTGATCATAATATAAATACATATTTTATAATATTTTTATAATAATAATTATATATGAATGAACACTTTTTAATAATGTTTTTGTTATTAATAATACATATATAATAATATTATAGGAAGGATAATATGCAAATAAATATTCACAGGTTTTTTTGATCATAATATAAAAAAATATTTTAAAGTTTTTTTTAAAATAATAATATATGAATGAACACTTTTTAGTAATGTTTTTGTAATTAATAATACAAATATAATAATATTATAGAAACGATAATATGCAAAAAAATATTGACAGGTTTTTTTTGATCATAATATAAATACATAGTGTAAAGTTTTTTTATAATAATAATTATATATGAATGAACACTTTTTAGTAATGTTTTTGTAATTAATAATACAAATATAATAATATTATAGAAACGATAATATGCAAATAAATATTGACAGGTTTTTTTGATCATAATATAAATACATAGTTTAAAGTTTTTTTATAATTATAATTATATATGAATGAACACTTTTTAATAATGTTTTTGTTATGAATAATACATATATAATAATATTATAGGAAGGATAATATACAAATAAATATATAAAAATGTTTTTGATCATAATATAAATACATATTTTATAATATTTTTATAATTATAATTATATATGAATGAACACTTTTTAATAATGTTTTTAATAATAATAATACATATATATTATTATTATAGGAAGGATAATATGCAATTAAATATTGACAGGTTTTTTTTTATCATAATATAAATACATATTTTATAATTTTATATAAAAATAATTATATATGAATGAACACTTTTTAATGATGTTTTTGTTATTAATAATACATATATAATAATATTATAGGAAGGATAATATACAAATAAATATATATAAATGTTTTTGATCATAATATAAATACATATTTTATAATATTTTTATAATAATAATTATATATGAATGAACACTTTTGAATAATGTTTTTGTTATTAATAATACATATATAATAATATTATAGGAAGGATAATATACAAATAATATATATAAATGTTTTTGATCATAATATAAATACATATTTTATAATATTTTTATAATAATAATTATATATGAATGAACACTTTTTAATAATGTTTTTGTTATTAATAATACATATATAATAATATTATAGGAAGGATAATATGCAAATAAATATTCACAGGTTTTTTTGATCATAATATAAATACATAGTTTAAAGTTTTTTTATAATAATAATTATATATGAATGAACACTTTTTAGTAATGTTTTTGTAATTAATAATACAAATATAATAATATTATAGAAACGATAATATGCAAATAAATATTGACAGGTTTTTTTGATCATAATATAAATACATAGTTTAAAGTTTTTTTATAATAATAATTATATATGAATGAACACTTTTTAGTAATGTTTTTGTAATTAATAATACAAATATAATAATATTATAGAAACGATAATATGCAAATAAATATTGACAGGTTGTTTTGATCATAATATAAATACATAGTTTAAAGTTTTTTTATAATTATAATTATATATGAATGAACACTTTTTAATAATGTTTTTGTTATTAATAATACATATATAATAATATTATAGGAAGTATAATATACAAATAAATATATATAAATGTTTTTGATCATAATATAAATACATATTTTATAATAATTTTATAATAATAATAATATATGAATGAACACTTTTTAATAATGTTTTTGTTATTAATAATACATATATAATAATATTATAGGAAGGATAATATACAAATAAATATATAAAAATGTTTTTGATCATAATATAAATACATATTTTATAATATTTTTATAATAATAATTATATATGAATGAACACTTTTTAATAATGTTTTTGTTATTAATAATACATATATAATAATATTATAGGAAGGATAATATGCAAATAAATATTCACAGGTTTTTTTTATCATAATATAAATACATATTTTAAAGTTTTTTATAATAATAATAATATATGAATGAACACTTTTTAGTAATGTTTTTGTAATTAATAATACAAATATAATAATATTATAGAAACGATAATATGCAAATAAATATTGACAGGTTTTTTTGATCATAATATAAATACATAGTTTAAAGTTTTTTTATAATAATAATTATATATGAATGAACACTTTTTGTAATGTTTTTGTAATTAATAATACAAATATAATAATATTACAGAAACGATAATATGCAAATAAATATTGACAGGTTTGGTTTTTTTGATCATAATATAAATACATAGTTTAAAGTTTTTTTATAATTATAATTATATATGAATGAACACTTTTTAATAATGTTTTTGTTATGAATAATACATACATAATAATATTATAGGAAGGATAATATACAAATAAATATATATAAATGTTTTTGATTATAATATAAATACATATTTTATAATATTTTTATAATAATAATTATATATGAATGAACACTTTTTAATAATGTTTTTAATAGTAATAATACATATATAATAATATTATAGGAAGGATAATATACAAATAAATATATATAAATGTTTTTGATCATTATATAAATACATATTTTATAATATTTTTATAATTATAATTATATATGATGAACACTTTTTAATAATGATTTTAATAATAATAATACATATATATTAATATTATAGTAAGGATAATATGCAATTAAATATTGACAGGTTTTTTTTATCATATTATAAATACATATTTTAAAATTTTTATATAAAAATAATTATATATGAATGAACAATTTTTAATGATGTTTTTGTAATTAATAATACATATATAATAATATTATAGGAAGGATAATATGCAAATAAATATTCACAGGTTTTTTTTATCATAATATAAATACATATTTTAAAGTTTTTTATAATAATAATTATATATGAATGAACACTTTTTAGTAATGTTTTTGTAATTAATAATACAAATATAATAATATTATAGAAACGATAATATGAAAATAAATATTGACAGGTTTTTTTGATCATAATATAAATACATAGTTTAAAGTTTTTT